AATGAAGGAAGAAAAAATAAAACAGAAGCCAACAACGCGATCGCAGAAAAATAGATAAGCGAGTGTTTTCCTGTAAAAACAGAAAACAAACAAAACAAAAACCTCTGAATTGTAGAACGTTCTGAGTTGGAAGGCAGGTGTAAGGATGCAGCCCAGTTCCTGGTATAGAATAGCTTGTTGCAATGCTTATGAAGAAGTTTCCATGGGGTACATTATTTATTCAAGAAACATTTATGCAAAAAGCATAGCATGCATTTAGCTGTGTTAGCTCTGACTCCTGATGGCCTTGATGGCTGTATGGTAACTGTTGAGTCACGGCCTCAACCACTGATAGAGCATCTGGGGAAAGGACCAGGGTTGCCTTGGGAGCACAGGTGAAGGCAATTCAGCTGTGTGACCAAATGGGGTGGAGCCTGGCTGCACCTCTCTTAGACCTCATTTAAGGGCTGACTGCCACCGGGGAAGGATTTCTTTCTGAAGATCCCTCCTTGGTGAAGGTTTTTCCAGCAATCCTAGGATCTTCTGTTATGGGTGAGCAATTTTTTCCACTTTTTTATTTCTCCTGTCAATTGTGCTAGTTCTTCCATCATCATTTCTTTGTTGTAAGGCTTTTTCTGTTATATCGGTCTGTTCATTTTCCACAATGATACAAGACATCCAGTGGTAAAGCAGAACATGAACTTTCTCCCTGATTACTTTTGTGAAGCTGGATGCTATTTCTAGTTCCAGTTCTAATTAGGAATTATTTTTGTTCTTTCCCCCTTTGTTTCTGCTGTAGAATTAGGTAGCCCAGGCTATATGTGAGCTGAGAGCAGGACAAAACTATGCACTGATGCCTCAAAAAGAGATTGTGTGGAATGATACTGTGCTGAGGTGAAACCTAAAGGCTACTGCTGATAGAAGCAGCTGATTTCTGTCTGAAGTGGCGAGTCCTGAGAACAGGGTGAGTGCAACAGCAGGTGGCCTGCTGCAAATTATTGGGTGCCTTTTTCAACACCCTCTCATCTTTAGCTGCTGAAAATTCAGGTTTTCTGGCTGTTGTTGGTGAGATCAGGTCTTAAGGCTTACTTTAGCCAACAGTATGGGTTTCTAAGCATATTGCCATACAGCATCTTCTAGTCCTGGGCCCTCTGATGTTGGGCTGAGATCTCTGTGAGAGTTTGCAGCCTGTGCTCACAGTTCTGCAGGAGGGTTCTCTTGAGGCACATCTCAAGCTGAAGGGACATCTTCAGTGTTGCTGATATAAGGGAGAGAAAAAGATGAAATTGACCAAACCTGGAGATGCCCCCTGCTGTAGATGGGGCCCTGGGCAGCCTTGAGGAGGGCAGTCAACCCACAGCAGGATTTGGGGCTGAGTGGGCTTTGAGGTCCTTTCCAATCTAAGCTATTCCATAGTTCCCTGATATATGAAATGTAACTTTGCATTTCTTGTATCACTGTTCTTTTCCCCCTGTTGAAAATGCTTCTGTTTGCCAGCTGTTCTTTTAGAAGGGGGAGGTGGACATCATTCTGCTGTTGGAGACTGAAGAGCAGCAGTGGGAACTACCTGCTGAAGGCCTAACTATCTGAAAAATGTTAGCATTGTGATCTGCACGTTCAGAGGAGTTCCTGAATGCAGAACCAATTGAAAAGCTGTGTATAAACACATCATTGGGCATGTATGTGGCTTTTCTTGGTGTTCTGTGACAGAGAGTACTGATTCTGGGCTGCTGGGGATCTTTGTTGTGTTCAGTCATTGTCCTGTTAGCTGTGGTAAAGCTGGTACTTTTCTAGCTAGAAGTTTTCCTGGGGCATTGTACTTAGTGGGGAGTTATAAACTGCCTTATAAACTGTTGCAATATTTGCAGACTGGTGGTGGACCCCTGCTGGGATGCTACACCTACCCAGGGCAGGAGTTACCTTTCTTCCTATCCTTCAATACTCTAGTGAAAATAGCAACAGTAGTTAAAGAGGAGTGTTTGAGGCTTGCAATGCACTTAATGCAGTGTTGCAATTTGGTGACACAGCTACCCTGAGAAAATCCGGGCCTCTTAACACCGAGTGCACAGCAGGCATTGTGGCAGTGCTGGAGCAGCACCTGTGCTTGGTGGCTGCAGCAGTCCAGGCCTTCTACCTGCGGGACCCTGCTGATCTGTGGACATGTTGCTCTTTTCACACCCTTCCCTCAGATGAGCATGTGATGACCATAATTAAGGGACAAGTTGCATTAGAGGAATTGCTTACTAAGTTCTGTGGGAAATTACTTAAGGCCTAACACTGTTTTTTTTTTAAATATACCTTTTTGGTATAAGTACTGTTTTGCATTTTTAATGTATTACGTTGAATGAAGTTCACGTTTATTTAGAGATGCTGGGAACCTGGAATATTCTTTGTGAAGTCTGAAAAGTGACTCATTCATCTTAGGCAAATATACATATCTGACATACTATCTCAGATAAAGTTGGTAATATTGGTGATTTAAAATGAAATTTGCATGGAAGTGCTGGAAAGTTGATGCTCATACAGAGCACAGTTACACTGCAGTGACTGTTGTTTTTTTTTTTCTTGCTTTGGCTTTTCAGGTTATATTCACCAAGTGTTTGTATGCACAGCTTGTGCAGCAGAAGTTTGCCCCAGGCAGGAGCAACGGATACATGCTGCTCCTTTTGTCCCACCCTCAGCACAAAGCCCATGAGTTGGGCATGAAGCTGGTGATTATTTTCTATTGATTTTTGTACTTAGTTTTGTCTGGGGTTTGGTCCGAGAGGTTTTACTTGTAGATGGCCTCTTTTACAGAGTAGCATGAGCAAGTTGTCAGTTCTGATTTTTCTGCAAATGCAGTATTGTGGGGGGCTATGTACAGAATGGAGCACTCCTGCGCTTCCACCTCTCGAAACCATTCCAGGCAGGATTGAAGTCTCAAGGCTGGTACAGCCCATGCCTATGTATGCCCATCAAATCTGGCATGAAGCATGTAGAACGTGCTACAGTGTGTCTTTGC